TCTTTTGTGAAGTGCTTCTGCGTGTAATTTCTAATTAACTAGCTCTATTCTTTTCTACAACAAGTAGCTCAACGCATACAAGTTACAATGTATACTTCAGCTAAATATATGTAGGTATGATTTTAAGAGGGAGATAACTAGTTAACAACATTTGCATGCTGCAAAGAGGCTTAATTAGTATAATAATTCAGAAATCTTGCTTTTAGCCTGTTCCTTGCACAGCTGCCCTATACTGAATACAACCTGCACACTAAAGATATGTTTCCAGTTAAAAATCTCCAGAGACTTTAGACCCATACATAAAGATACTTATTTCACTCTTTTCTGAGACACTGACCTGTATCCTCATTTAAAAATGAACATCACATCTTTATGTTATTAAATCTTTGTTTTGATCTATTAGTATTCACCAAAGTGCCATTTTATACAACTCCACACTGAATAGGCGAGGCTGGAGGTAACCATCTGCAGCTTTAGAGTCAGCGTTTGAATTGATGAAAAGAGCTTTGTGTTTTCATTGCCAAGTTTGATTCTTCCAGTCATTAGACATTCCCCTCAGATCGCATCAATGAAGCAAACTCCCTTACACCCATGTGTTAAATTCTCTTCTCCTCATGGTTTCCTTTGCCAGCTATACTCCAGAAAGACTACTGGGTCTTAGTCACATTCTTCTCACAGCTGTGTTAAAAAAGAGCATCAGAGCCTCTTCCCAAAATCCATATGTGTATCTGGTCAGTCCCCTGTCGGAGGGTCACCTCACATTGTGGTGTGATTATTCAAATATTCATCCTTGTTCTTGAACTGCACTGCTCTGATCATTCTGGGAAAGATTAGACCCTGAGCCAGCACTGAAGAACGCATTGGACATTGATGTGAAACGCACACAGCTCCCGCACTCAGAAGGAAGATTAGTTTTACTTGCAGAAGAGGGGGACACTAACTACTCAATAAATGCTTGCTTCTTATTTCTTTACATTTTTTTGTATTCTTTTCATCCACATCAACTGTTGATAATAACTGCTTGCTTTTGTTGTTTCATAGATCAACTTATATATCAGCATCAGCTAAGAAAATAAATGAACAAGTACAAAAGCAGAGAAAGCATTTTCAAAAATGCTGGAGGGAAATTCAGGACTAAACAAAATAGTGTGTTCCAGTCATAATGAAATTTACGTGGTCAACAAAAACAAAGACCTTAAGGGGTAAAGCAAATGTTATTAAGGATAGAATTTAATTCAGAAGACCAGTTAGTTTTCTTATGTATTCAATCAATTGAAATATTTTATCCAAAGCTGTAACTCTCCTGACCTCCTCCTTAAAAGAAAGAAAAAAAATTGGAATAAAAGATCTCTAATAAACAGTTAAGGACAAATGAAGCAACGACTTCTGGTTTAAATCACTTTTATATTAGCTTTATTCATAGCCAGAACTACCTTGACAAAGTACACAAACAGGATTCTTCTCACCATTTATGCTTATTTTCATACCTGTATATTTTAGCATTGCACTGTTACTTTGTGGATTTTTTGGAGGTCTTTTTGTGTGTTTATTTTTAGAGGATTACATAGAAATTCTACCCACTCACCCTCCTCTGCCATTTTACACGGCTACACGAAAATGCAAGGGTAGCTGTGCTCACATGCAGAGCTGCACTTTACGGAGCTAGAATCATTAAAGTATGAGGAAAAAAATAGAAGTCCCCAGTAGAAAAATTGCATTAAAATTCACTCCAGCTGCAAAGCTGTTGCAGAAAAATAGAACATTTCCTGGAAAAACCACATCAAAAGTGGCCTCAACCTTTACTGATAATTGGCTAATATTGATTTGGTATTACATTATAACCTCCTCTGATCTCACTGACATCAGCAACCACTCCACAATCCCAGAGGCTCCATCCGGAAGGACATTTTTAAAATGCCTTGCTTCCTCTGTTGGCAGAGGTATTAATTAATTCACAGGCTCTCCCAGCCACCTTTCCAGGTCAGCCCCATTTCCCTGCTGGGACTGCACCAGTTGGCTCCTGGCTTCCCAGGCAGGACAAATTTGCAGGGGGCCTGGGGTACTATACCAACACTCCTGGGGAATTCTGTTCTCTGTCCTAATTCTTTGTAACCATGAAATAGAAACATTAATTAAATCTAGAAAATTATAGTCATAGCTATCCCCTAGAGTATTGATAAAAATACTATTGTGCAGATCATAATAGTCCATTGAATAAATATGTAATACATGTATTTATTTACACAGACCACAGTTAAAATATGTACTTGCTCTATAAAGAATAGCACTCTCATAAAAGTCTAAGTGTATCTTGATAGTGTTTCAAAATCAAAACAGATTCAAGCAAATGCAGCTAAATCTGCGTGACCACTCTGTGAGCATCAGTGTTTCTTGTTTTACACCAGCACCCCTGTTAGGATGGTGAATCATCTTTACAGGCAAGAGCACACAGTCTCAATTTATATCTCCCACTGCAGTGAGCCAGCGTGAGATGTTCACACTAATTCAGTGTAAACAGATGTTTACTGTGTCCAAGTTCACTATAAGTAGATACCAAAATATCCCCCTTCTGGTTCACAGCTGCTGTTTTGTGTGGCATAGAATCAAATTTTTTAGATGCTTTTTGTCCTGATGGAAAGCACGGGACCAGTATTCTGACTTGAGTCTCACGTTTAGAAAGCAACAACTACTGGTGGGTACACAAATGGCTGACATGATGGAAACACTGTGGAGAATTACAACTCTCTTTTAAGCTTTGCATATCATGCTGAATGCAAACACTGAACTTTTAAAGAATATTAAAAAATTCTTTAGTGTTGCCAGCGAACAGATTAGCAAAGGCAGTGAAAAACCAGTAAATTACATTGTATGAAGATACAAAGCACATCCTTTCTCAACATTATTTTATTAATTACAATGATGTTCTTTCTTAATGAAGGTCATAAGTATTTCACTTGTCTGATTTTTAACTGTTGCTATTTTACTGAATAATATTGAGAAACTATACAGCTGACAAAACTACTTCCTCCATATGTCAGGATTCAATTCTAGTTGAGCATTTAAAAAAGTCAAGAAAATAGATATTTTAGAACAGTCTTAAGTCTATGAATTTTAGTGCCACATTTTAAACTACATGAAGCATCTTCTTAAGACAGCACTAATAATTAATACTACTGCAATTAATACCAAAAAGCCTTTCTGTTGACAGGTTTATAAATTATCAGTTCTTTCTTGAAATGTAGAACATCCTACATCTTCTAAATAAAATGCTAAGCTAACAAATGAGTTCCTGCCTAATTGCCAAACACTGATTTGTATGAAGCAGTTGAGGTTACAAAGAAATTGGGAATTCTCAGCCCGGTTTCCCTGCTGATGAGTACGAACTGTCTGTGTAGCTCTCCCAGAGGTGTCAGAGGAATCTCTATAGTGTCACACAAGGGTTCTTAGCTCAAAGTAAACACACTTTCCACAAACTCAGCTGCTTAATCTGTTTGCAGGTTGAATTATAAGATGGGGGTGGATGACTCCGGGTGCTGGGAAGACGCACAGAGCATTTCCACAGTTTCATGGTAAAAAGGGCATGCTATTGTCATCAAAAGACTTCAACCAATTGTTTAATTTTGCTATAGGCTCAGTCGTCTGATCTTAACAATAATGAAAACTAACCTGACCAAAATTTTCCCAAGTAGTTAAGCATGTTAAATTACGTAAATTCTTTTCACTATAGTGGTGCATCACCACTACTTTAATTCTGTTTGTGGCTGCACTTCTACTTTAGCTACCCTGGGTACACGGATTAAACAAGATTGTTTCACTTCAGGGAAAAAAAAAAAACAGTAAAAACCCAACCTCTGCTTAAATAGCTATATTATTAAACATTTATAAATAAAACTAGACGTAACAACTTAAGATAGTGTACAGAAAGGTTCAATCAATATTCTCTTTATCATACTTTAATATTTTTTCATAGGTTTATTTTTAGGTTTTAGCCCACACCTCCTGAAGTTTCAAATACATCTAAGTGCTCAGAATAAAAACTTGAATGATTATCAAACAACCACTGTAGGTTTTAAAGAGATGACTAAAAGTATGCATTTTCATATATAGATACTTTAATTATATTTTATGTAGTTACAAATAAATAAAAATATAGGAATACAACTATTTTTAAATAGGAGAACTCAGCATGTATTTTTTTAAACAAGAAAAGCTTTTGTTAGGTCCTTGCAATATATTACAAGCCAATTTTTGACTACTCTGTAAATATGCTGTAGACATTAAAGTTGAAGATATATATGGACAGAAAGGACAATTTGCAGCAGTTCAGCATCGACCACCTTGGAAGGGTGAGAGAGTAGAATTTTGCAGTTGATGAATGTAATGCAGAGATGAGAAGTACTGGACTGCCAAGAGGCACTACTAATAACAAACATGACAATAAGTGCTTCACTAGAGATGAACTTCAGGTTTTGGAGTTCAGTAACCTTTCAACAGGGAAACTCATGATGGGAAAGAAAATACAATCTCTGCTCAGTGACTCAGAGACTTCCTGTAGCTCTCAGTGAGATTTAGAAGCCACTCCTAAACAACCCCATAAGCATTTACTGTGGCATGAAACCTGCCAGATGTGTAACAGATCAAAAATGAGAACTGTAATATTCTACCATGCAATTATAAAGGCAAATACTCTGTTGCCATAGGATTGCCACAGGGTAAAAAGACAGTGGAAACCATTTGCAGGAGATGGAAAGACTTTCTCTGTGCCTTGCACATGTAAAAAGCAAGTTCCATAACAGCAATGAGAGTAACCCTGACTTGCCTAATAGCACAAAACTGTTAAAACAATCAGTCTCACACTGAGTAGGAAATGAGCTGAAAAAGAAGAAATCATTTTAAAGAACTTTTTCTGAGTACTGCTGCACTTTCAGTAATAGACAAAATACCAGAAAAAAATGCTTCATGTGGATTACAACTGCAATTTTTGTTGGAAGGCGACTTACTTTTGAACTTTTTCATTGGCCTCCTGAGAAGCTTCCAGGGCTTTCTGGAGCTTCAGCTCAGTGTCCTTTTGCTCTGATCGAGTTTGCTGCAGCTGAGCTGCCAGCTCTTCAATCTGGCCATAGGTTAGGGTCACAGCATCCTCCCTTCCCTGCAGTCCACCTTCAGAAGTACTGAAAGCACAGTTAGGCTGGTTCTTCAGACTCATTCCTTCAGACAAAGACTTGTATAACCTGGGAAAACCAAATCATATATGTTATTAAGTTTCAGTCTAAGGCTGAGCTGCAAGAACTAATCCATACTTTCAGTATTGTCATATACGGACTCACAAGTACTAGTAGCAAAACAAGTTATATTTCAGAAGTGACAGAGAGTAAAAAGAACAAACCTTTTCCACAAGGCTCTTCTATAAGTATTAATAACCATAAAAATTCAAAAAAGTAAAAAAAAAAAAATTCTGCAAAAACTCAAGAGGAAGTATTTTTCAGCTTTAGCATCTTGTTGATCACCTCTGAGCTCCAGCAAAAAGTTTTTATTGTGATTTACATGAAGTTGAATTAATCAGCATAAGTTATTGATGTGTTATTAACTTCGGCTACACACAGGAGTCTCTTAGCAATCAGACCCACCAGCTACAGGAGATTTATTTGCAAAAGAAGACTTTTCAATAAAATGAAAGGAATAAAAACACTACAGTTCAAAAATTAAAATCAGTAAATCAGCAGGATTACTTAGAAATAAGATTTGATCATGCTAATCAATTCTAAAAGTCCCCATTCAGTTTTATCCATGATTTTGAGGTATGTTCATAGACGTTCCAAATCACAGAGCACAAACCCAGTACTCTTTCATTGCACAAACCAGAATATAGTATTAATGCTTTGTATTTGTGTGCCAGAAAGTTCTGGACAAATCAAACATTATTTCAGTGTGGATTTCTAGTAGCAGTATACACTGATTACAGCATTCAAGACAGCTGCTAGTATGCAATATCACATTTTCTTTCTTTATAGTTTATTAAGGTGTTTGCATGGAAAACAGTCTGTTCCAACAGCCCATGAAGGAAAATCATAAATAAATTAAAATATAATATACATGGAAAAACAAAATGTGGATGAACTAAGAGCAATAGAGAAGTTAAAAGGTTAGAGTGTTGACATGTCATTGTGCATACTACCTGTGATTATCTGAAAACAATGTAAAAAACCTTTTCAATTAAATGAAGACATATTGAAAATATAAATATTTATAAAGGGACATTAAAATTCCTAAGATGGACTAATTAAAAAAAAATCACTCTAGCAGTTGCACATAAAATTTACTGACTGAAGTTCCATTACAGTTGAGCATTGATCACCATGGAAAAACACAAAGGTATGCAAATAATGTCGAAAGCAGGTTACTGAAATACCACTGCTGCCCGCTTCTTAAACACCTGGCACAAGATTAAAAGAAAAAAAAAAGACAGATGAGAAGCTATACTGTTCAGTGAATATATGGGTCCTCGAATAAAAAAAAAAAAAAGTAACAAAAACTAAGAGTTTTTTTCCAGAATATACGAAAAATAAAGTAATTTATTTAGATCCTGAAATACCGACTCTCTGTGGCTACAACTGGGCCCCTTTTCAAAGACTGGCTGTGAAAACCACATATATACTACTATAATTGCAATATACTACTACATGTCTTATAGTGATTGCATCTGAGGGACCAATAGATTCTGATGTATACACTTTGTAACCAGGGTGATTCCTCCACATAAAGGCACTGTGATTGACAGATCTTCTAATATTTTTTTTCAAAAGCATGCAATTTCCAGACTTCCATCAATATGTGTTTTGGTAAAATACTTTTTTTCATCCTTTCTGAAAATTACTAATTTGAAATTACTTCCTTCACCCGAAGATTATTTCTTCAACGAATATTGATGCTATAATTAAAAAATAAATGGGAGTTATAGGCCTGAAGAATGGGTCACAGAAGTATTCAAACAGTCCCCGGATTTCAGTAATTCACATGCTCCTTTTAGTAAGCTTTTTGCTTTACTATGGCATCATGGCCTCTTTCCTGCTCCAACTTAGGTCTGAGAGCTTCAAAGGCCCACCTTAACTGTGTCTAGGCAGAAGAAAAAGTGACATGAGATGATATTACTTGTGTAGCTCCTGTAGAGAGAAAGAGATTTCCTCAGTCCCCAAAGTCAGAGTAGCTTCAAGCCTGCAAAGAATATCACCAGTTGTAACTGCTCCCAGAGGGACTTGACTTTGGCTGAAAATCAACTCCTATGAAGTGCTGCTCCTAAAACACTCCTCACCTTGCCACGCATACTTTTGCTGCAAGGTGGGAAATGATTTTCCAGCTGAAGCAATTACTGAACAACACAGCTAAACCTTCCACCTAATGGAACAAAAAAAAAAAAAAAAAAAAAAGCAAAAAACCAAACATTCCCTACCCGTTCCCTCCCTCTGCCTCCACCCCAGTGATAAACATATCCAATGTTCCCAAAGGCGTGTAGGTCTGACCTTGGTTTCCACCACAAATGTTTCTCACAGGTCCTGGAGACCTCTCAGACTTCAGCCTGCCCTCAGGATGGCTTTGAAGAGTGTACCCTCATGCCACTGAGTGCACTCAAGGGCCAGGCAGCATTGATACCTTGAAAATACTGCCTCAAAGCTGCTCTTAGGAAACGCTGCAATAAGATGATATCAAAAAAGCCCATAAGACCTAAAGGACTTTGAGATTTTGCTGTGAAGTGGAGGATATTAAATAGTCAAGTTTGCATTACATGTGAGTCAGGAGCCTAACAGCTGGTAGACTGGTAACTAGATGACATTGCCCTACCATAGATAAATATTTTACTAGTCTTCCTTTGCCTGCACTTAAACAAGGTATGAGGACTGTGTTTTCTCAGTACAACAAACCATCTCTCACTAATTTATCTGAAGGCAGCAGCCAAAGGCAGACTCTGGCACACAGGCCATGGGCCACGTTACAACAGGAATGCTCCTTGCACATTACACACAGAGTATGCTCTCTGCATTGTCACAGTTCATCACACAGTGTCACTCTCTTGTGTGATGTACCCATGCACTCTAGTCTAGGATGAGCTCAGGCAACCTCAACCACTTGTTGAACACTGGCCACCATTGGTTTTCCTCTCTGTGGTGGTTGGGCACACAAACTGAGGAGTTCACAGGACATTATTTTGACAGATTGGTGCTGATCATGCGTGTCCATGCTGTCCAGACTCGATTACACGTGAGTACGGAACAACAGTGAGCAGCACCTTGAGATTCAGCCTTCCTTCCTGAAATGATCTAGAGAAATCTGCAACCTGAACCGGGGTCCTAAGAGCCTGGACATTAGATGATTCAAACAGGTTCATTAGATAGAGGGAGAGCTTGAATTGACTATCATCCATCTTAGAATTTTTATGTTTCAACAAATATCAATTAAAGGCCACTAGCAAACACATTTTTCCTCCTTGGGCTCAGTCTTCTTATCTTTAAATCGAGCAAACACAATGCTACCTTTGCAAAGCGCTCTGATCTTCACTAATGTCAAGAGAGTAATCACTGTTGAAAGAGCTAAGTTAGATGCAGCACAATCAGAATTTAGGACAAAACTAAACCCAGATGGTCTTTGGTGATGTCAAACAGGAAACATATTCTTTTCAGCTTCATTTTTACTGTCCAGGACTACTGAAGTATACCCATATCATTTCCCTGTGACTAGCCTGGGAGAGGGGTAAGGACATGGAATTTATCATCTGAGCCTTTTTTGAAGCTGAAGGACTACCCAGGTAAGCTCTCAAACAAGACATAATTGGAAATCATGCCTCCATTACAAACTCTTCATTTAGGGAGTTGCACTGTAATCAAGTGACTTCTGTTCACTTTATGCAGCCCGTGGGCAAATTGCTCAGGTAGCACAGCCTCATGTGAGCAACATGCACACGACATTCAGCACAGCCTACCATTCCTCACATTCACTGTGCCATAAAGGTCTAGGACCTCCACAAAGATAGTTTCTGGATTAACAGTGTTTGGTGAAACACAGCAAAACATACATGAGACTGATGAATAGAAGGAAGTGTTTCTGAGGTGTTTGCAGTTATAGTGCTATTCCCTTCAGCTAGAGCACAGACCTACAGCTAAGGAGCTAGCTGGCAGCTAAGAAACCCACCTGAATTCCCTGAGTATATGATACACCCGGGGCTGAGGTCTCTGCTATCTCTAATTGATTAGAGACTGGAAGATTGCAACTTAGCGTTAGCTTTTTTTCTTACAGAGATATAGTGCACCTGAGTTCACAGAAAAGACCACTGTAGATTTTATGCTTTAATCATGAATATTACTTGCTACATGTTAACATTAATTACACATCTTCAGGGTTTCACAGTGTACCTGTGCTAACTGCACAACACAGATTCACAGGCTCTCCAAATTATTCCATGAATTAGAGAACTGTGTTTGCAATACTGCAAACTATTGCAGATACTCTTTGCAGTTTTCCCAAGTTATATGTTATTCCTAGAACCAATCTTTCCATAAAATGTTCCTGTCATATTTTGACAGGGAATTGCCTGCATTAGCATATTCTGGCCTAAGCATTCGCCGGGTCCACCACGGAGGCTTGCTTCTAACAAGGTAAAATTAACCCAAAATTTTAAAAAAAACAACCAAATTTGTAAGATGTTTACTTTATTCCACTAGATGCTACAAGTAAGAATTTTGCTATCTTGTATCTGTTCTTTATTGTCAATTCATATGCTTTGGCCATTCTTAAATATTTGCCAATGGCTTTAGTTAACAAAATAATTTTAACTTAGTATTTGTAATACTGTAGTTATTCCCTACAGTAATAGATTATTTAGGTAACACTGCAAATAGAGAGGGAACCTTATCTATTAATCGAAGACAGAGCTGGCACCAAGAGTGACCTCAGTATGTGAATATAATGGACATTTAAGATGGTGCCAGCAACTCCTGTTTTTTTTTTTTTTGTGCATCACAACCTCTTGTCTGCTCTCCCTGGGAAGTGCGAGCATTTAGCAGAGGCAGAGCAGCCCCTGGCTCGGCTGTGGGCAGCAGGCAAAGAGGAGGGGCACAGCCAGCTCACAGACAAGAGGCATTGCCACCTTCCCCATCCCCAGGCTGAACTGGCAGCACCTGTGCCTCTCTGGAGGCTGCTGGAGGCTGCTGGGCTGACATGGATCACTGAAGGGGTGTGTACA